GCACCATTTAAATTTAAGCATGGCACCATGTATGATATGACATATCAACTCATTTCTTTGTGTAAGCCATGCTTCCTATTATGTTTTGCATAAGTTCCCTACAACATATTGATTTCCCTTCATCCTAATTTTGTTATGCTTCCATTGCTTATCATGTATGTTGTGATAGATTAACTGCTTCTTGTTGTACATATGTTTTGCGCCAAACAATGCCAACCGTGCATCACTACTTCCTCAAATGCATTGTACTATCCTCTCCTTATGATGCGACAGTGTCGATCTGAAGGTGGAGATGGGATTTGGTGGAGAGATGGGCGGAGACACGATTGAGGCCGCTGTTGAGGATGTGCTTGCTTACGTACTCCACCGGCTTGATGACATGCGTTAGTTGTAGCTTTCACAACAAGCAAACTGACTAGGATAATTCCATGTGGCGGTCAATTGCTAGCAGTGGCGCCCTGGTGCTTGCTTTCATCACAACGGCGACGACTTTTATTTGGTGATTCTTCACCTATGTGTTGCCTATTGTGAAGTTACAGCCTAAGACAATACCCTCGGTTCCTAGCCGCCTTAGTCTCTTAAACATGGACCTTGTATCAGAATATTTTTGTAATATAATTAATTTGTTCATTTTTTATTATATTAGACTTTTTTGTGCATGGAAGGAGATTCCCTTCTCTTTACAAGAAATCTTTTGTTTATTTGAAAACAATTTACTCACTACAGTGGAAACCATTCTATATCTGAGTGGAAGACAATTTAATTGTTGCTCACAGATGCAAATGTAAATTTAAATGGAAGCAAATTTTCTGGTCGCCTGAAACAAATTCTTGCTTCATTGCATACAAAATAATAAACATTTATAATGGACACAAATTTCCTAAGGAATCTCTGTTAGATGGAATTTTTTGTGGCTATAGTTGAAGCAAATTAATTAGTTGATGGAATCAAACATTTGAGAAATATAAATCGAAAGCAAACTTGGCCGCATAGTTTGAGGGCTTCACGTTTCAGGGTAACCAAACCTTTTTTTTAGAAGAGGATAAGCAAACTTGATTGGACAGTTTGAGGGCCATAACTTTAGGAGAGTCGTTAGCGAGGGTGTTGTGGGTGGTAACTGGAAGCAGTTATTACGAAGCAATAAAACAATCCATGCACCGGCCTAGTAGCAGATCCAATGACCATCATTCATCTCATCCTATGGCATAGGATTGGTCTGATAATATGTAAAGGATCAGTAGTCTTATTCCTAGCGGCTCCTTTATATCTCCCACTACCATATTTGATTTTTACAACTGGCAAGAACAAAGGGAGTGATGCCCCCTTATCTTTGTTGGGTGCAAGCATCTGCTTTGTGTATGCGCACGTATTGTCGACGTTGTCTGTGTGCCATCTCCTTCTGGTTCATAAATCTTGGTTCTTAACTGAGGAAAATACTATCTGTTACTATATTACATCACCCTTCCGCTTTGGAGAATCCCAACACTATTACAAGTAGCAGTTTCCTCTGAGCATGAGGGAGAGAGTCGAATCGGGGCCAAGACAACACCTCCATGGATGGGTCGACGTCGTGGGCATCGCCGTTGTCAACCTCGGACATCGCAAAGTAGGGATTTCTTCCAACCCAGACCACGAATCCCTAAGTCCACCGGAGCTTCTCGAACGAGCCGACCACGACAACGGGAGGAGAGCGCATCTCATGGCACCCATCCACCACCACCAGACAAACTAGATCAAGAACACGGCAAACACGGCTCTGCCTAGATCAATCCCGCCACCACAGCACCACCTTCATCACGCCCAAAGGACCCCACCACCTCCACCGCAACCTCTGGCCTGCCCCAACAACGTCGGTGGTGTGAACTACCGTCGTCCATTACGTCGGCCGACATCCGGGCCACCACCACCCACATCAAATGGATCTGGGCAGGGAAAAACCCAGTTCCGCCGCCACCGGTGTCCACGGCCGGCCCCCACGCTGCCCTCGCAGCTGTGATGGAGCAGCCCCGCCGAGTGCCCCTTGGGTCGCCGCCCCAGCACCCAGATTCCACGTGCGTGTCGCCCTGCCTCCAGCGTCCGCAAGACCGCGTCATGCACACACTAGCGACGCCTTGCATTCGTGTCGTCGGGCACCTCCTCATCCCGGCTGAGCATCCCCACGCAGCTTTGCTCCAGACTTGAGGGAAGGGAAGGCCCGTCGCCGCCGTCGCCGCGCGGGCTTTTCCCGACGGCGCTCGCCGGCTACGGCGGAGGGAGGGGTTGGTGGCGGTGTATGGGGCTGTCGCGGCTAGGGTTTCGCACCCAGGTCGCCCTTCGGGGGAGCGACACGGGGCTGCGACACGATAGCGTATACCTAAAGATTATTTCAAATTACTTTATTAGATTTGACTATACCGATATATCAATCAAACGCCAAAATGTGTCTAGATATATTTGTATTTAGATAAATCTAAGACAAATAATTCGAAACGGAGGGGGCGGTTTATTTGACAACGAAATATGGGCTTGTTGTACATTAGTAACGTGTGAAGGGTCGAAATGAAGGAACATCCCAACTGAAGGGTCGAAATGAAAGAACATCCCGAGGGCCTTTTTAGTACACCAGCACACCGGGCGTTTTCGCTCCGGTGTCCGCCGTCGTATCACTAGTCCACTGTCCCCGGCGACGTGGATTGATCGCTCGCCCTACATCAATCGAGACCGAAATTTTTTCCTGTCTGCCTCCCTCAACATCCCCGGCCGATCTACCGCTGTGCGCCGCCACCCTAGTTCTGGAGGTACGCCGGAGCTCTACCTTGTCCCTCCTCGGCATTAGGTGTTAGCTTTTCTTATCAAAATTGGACTCACAAGCCTGCCACGGTCTACGAGTCGCCTCCAATTCAACTGCTGTAACCCTAGCTCCGTCCCTGTCCTTAAAACCCTAGCTCGCCCTAAACCGTGGCGCCCGCCGCCGCCCCCCATCCTGGGCTGGCGTTGGTCTTCCGAAGCGGCGGAGGCTCAGGAGTGCCCTCGATCTAGGTCAGACCTCACCGACCGGCACGCCGTGCTCACAACTCGCACATCCTACTGCCAACATCAGTTCATTTTCCATTTCGTTTTTTTTGTGGGGGCCCAACCTCCATAGCGCACGATCGAGTTCGAGTCCAGCCCTTCTTATAGAGAAGGGCAGTCCTTATCTGTACTATGCTATACAGTGATTGCTTGGCTAATGGGGGGCCATTAGTCGATCTGATGATGGCTACCTATGGTTTGTTTACTCTATTTTATTTGGGAGGGGGGACAGAGCTGGGGCCTGATGGTGTGGTTGATGGACCATCGCCATCACCATTACATGGCAACTTGGTCTCGTGGCCGTTGGAGTTGGACGGCGTAGATTAACCTGGTTGAACGGTCAGTCGACACGTGGTGGCGGTCTCCACCGCTCTTTTTGCGATTTATAAGGTTTTATTTATTCAGGCTGTGCATTAGCGAACATTTTGTATTTAATTGTATGGCATGTCTTCACTGTTTTATTTAATGTTTTCAAGTGATGTTTTATCATATTTCGGGTGCTGATTAGTATCTTCACGGTGACGTGACTGTTTTCTAGGTGTTATTAAGTCTCTGGCATGCTAGCATTTCTAGTATTATTGACATCTTCGGTGGGCTTTCCTAGAAAATTTAGTACTAAATTTAGGAAGTACTCCCTCCGTTCTAAAATACTTGTCGTGGTTTTAGTTCGACGACAACTATTTTGGAACGGAGGGAGTACTTTTTTTCCCAAGTGCATGGTTCTGTTTATGTTGATTTATCCTGTAGATCTTCAGAGACTGGAACTTCCATTTCTTTCCTAGTTGAGCCAAAAGAAGATTTCAATCCAATAAGCAAAAACTGAAGGGTGCAATCTGACCCTCTTTGCCCACCACCACGACCACTGTGGGTTACCTTAATAGATTGAAATTTATAACAAAGACACTATTCGAGACATTATTTCAGTACTTAGGTTGCAAATATTCCCATATTATATAGATGCTCGATATGTCCATAAAATCCTTCCTTTTTAATTTTAGCTAACAAACACACTTTTGTTCCATGCGCTTACTTTATTTCTTTGAAAGGATCTGGTCCTGACTTCTCTCTTTTTTTCCCTTGGGATATGCGCTTGTATAGGTTGATATAAACAGCAAGAGGGCATCACATTGTACCAGAAAGCGCCAAAGAAGGACCGATTGCAACACAAGTGATGGGATGTAATAGTCGAGAAAATAAGGCTGCGCCGGAGCAAAAACTAACTACTTTATCCGGTAAAAAGAAGTGCTTTGCTTGTAAAGAGACATCACACAATTTGGATCAATGCAGGATAAAAGACAAACTGGGTACTGCGGCTCAGCTATTTGGACATTCTACAAGGTTTCCATTCTACATGATTCAGCCTTCAAAGGAAGTTGTCGAAAATGAAAAGTTCTACCATCACTGCCTGCTGATCACATCTAATGCCTGTAACTTGGACCCGGCAGCAGTGAAAATTGAACTAAATAAGTTCTGGAAGCTGACTGATGGCTGGTATATAAAGAGAGAAGGTAGACAGAATTTCGTGGCATCCTTCAACTCAGAGGATGACCTACTAAGCTGTTTAAATCCTCCCAATGTAGAAACATTTCTAGATGAAAAGGAGGTGAATTTTACTGTAGCAAGGTGGGTTGAAGGTGATGGGGAGAAACTTGACTTGATCAGAGAGTGGCTTTTGGTCTATGGGGTCCCAGGTGCATATAGAAACTGGAAGGAGCTATATCAAGTTGCATCTGCAGTTGGAGTTTTGCTTGAGGTGGATGAGGAAAGTTTGGAAAGCGGAGATAAGGAGCCTATTAGGTTGAGGATAGCGTTGGGAAGTCTTGTTGGTGCTCCTTTCTCTTACCACTTTGTGTTTGGATGGTCATCTAGACCAGTCAAGTTCATGATTGAAGACAAAGCAAGAAGGATAGAAGGGCAATGGAAAGAAGTAGAAGAACGGAAGGTCAGCGTCATGAAGGAATATGCAGATATAAGAGAAGGTATTGAGGTACCTCCAGAAACATTGAATAAAGGAATGGATTTAGAGGGCACTGGAATAGTTTTCGCAGGCAATTATTCTTTGGATTTTGGAAGTTGCTCATGCAAGGAATGTAAAGAAGAACTGAAAACCACAGAACGAAATGGTAACATCATGAAGGAATATGCAGATATAAGAGAAGAAGGTATTGAGGTACCTGCAGAAACACTGAATGAAGGAATGTATTTAGAGGGCACTGGAGTAGATTTCACAGGCAGTTATTCTTTGGATTTCAGAAGTTGCTCAGGCAAGGAATGTAAAGAAGAACTGAAAACCACAGAAGGGAATGGTAGCGTCATGATGGAATATGCAGATATAAGAGAAGAAGGTATTGAGGTACCTGCAGAAACACTGAATGAAGGAATGGATTTAAAGGGCACTGGAGTAGTTTTCGCAGGCAATTATTCTTTGGATTTCGGAAGTTGCCCAGGCAAGGAATGTAAAGAAGAACTGAAAACCACAGAACGGAATGGTAGTGTCATGAAGGAATATGCAGATATAAGAGAAGAAGGTATTGAGGTACCTCTAGAAACACTCAATAAAGGAATGGATTTAGAGGGCACTGGAGTAGATTCCGCAGGCAATTATTCTTTGGATTTTGGAAGTTGCTTAGGCAAGGAATGTAAAGAAGAACCGAAGACTACAGAAACAGTTACATTGCTGGAAGTGGCAAAGTTCATTCCAGAGTTAAGAGCTGATGAAGAGATCGAGGAAAACAGCGGAAGTGCTATGGCAGCCACCACAACAAACTCAAAGAAAGCAGCAGAAGGGGGGCAATCCCCAAGTGAAAGCTCGGCAAGAGGTGATCATATGTCGGGTTTGGAAGATTGTTCTGACAAGAAACATCAAAAGAAACTGATGACCTGCGACATGGCTACATTTCTGCAAGTCTCGAAGTTCACTGAAGAGTTTAAAACTGATGGAGAGATCAAAGAAAACAATGCAAGTGCTATAGTGGGCACCAGAACGAACTCCGAGGGAGCTACAGTAGACATTCCAAAAGCTACAGAAGACATGGCTACATTGCTGCAAGCATCGAAGTTCACCGAAGAGTTAAGAACTGATAGAGAGATCAAAGAAAACAATGCAAGTGCTATACTGGGCACCAGAACGAACTACGAGAGAGCTACAGAAGACATTCCAAAAGCTACAGAAGACATGGCTACATTGCTGCAAGTGTCGAAGTTCACTGAAGAGTTAAGAACTAATGGAGAGATCAAAGAAAACAATGCAAGTGCTATAGTGGATACCAGAACGAACTCGGAGAGAGCTACAGAAGACGTTCCAAAAACTGAAGGTGGGCAATCCATAAGTGGAAGTTCAACTTCAACAAGCTTGATTGAAGAGGTCTTCAGAGGTCAGTGAAAACTGCACATTTGTGAACTTTGCTGTGCTATATTTATCAAATATGTTTATGATGTATGTTGTGAATTTTCTTGGCACAATAACAATTGGTTGACACTTTGTTTGCTGACATCATTTCTGATCTGCCCATGAAGGTCACAAGCCATCTATAAAAAATGTGTACAGAAGAAGAGATCGGAAGCAAAAAAAATCGACAGAAGGTTCCACTTTGTGTGCTAACATCAGTTCTGACAGTGCCCATGAAGGTTTACAGAAGCCACCTATAAAAAATATGTACGAGGGAAGTGATCCCAAGCAAAAAGGATCCACAGGGGGGCAAGTTGCTTCAAAGGAACTGAACAAAGGAATGAACCCAGGGAGCAGCAGTCACGCCACAAGGATTGCAACCTCAACATGCAATATGATGGACTCAGAAAGTTTATTGGAAAAGGAACACGAGAAAGAAATGAAAATGGCAGAAACAGCAGCAAAGACTGTGGGAGCTGAAGGAGCACAATCTATCAAGGGAAGTTCAGTATGCATGCTTAGAGTAACTCAGACAAAAGGTGAGTCAACCATCCTATGTGCATAAAATTGTTACACTTGTATACCTTCAAACCTTTTCTTAACCAAGTCTTTTATCACAAGTTAGAAGGAAAACACCCAATTAGCATTTGACCACCAGTCTTTATAGAAAATGAAAAGCAAACTGATTTTCAATTTTTGAGTGGCACAATTGGGAATATAAGAAAAGGGGTGTACACCAAAACATGGACTGTAGAGAGTGTGCAAGATGACAGCCTTAGAGCATGTCTAGTAGAGCCCTCAAACCCTTAAATCTGGTTTTAGTTTTAAGGGTTGAGAATTGGCCATTTTTGACACTTTTAAGGGTTGAAAAACAGGGGCAAAGACTAGAACCCTCAAACCCAACCCTTATAACAGAATATTCCGTTATAAGGGTTGGGTTTGAGGGTTCTAGTCTTTGCCCCAACCCCAACCCTTAAAACTGTCATTTGACATATCACAATTTTCACTAGAAAAACACAATCAACCTTCAAACAAACACGGAAATGAAGATCATTGATGCATGGTTTAATAGTTTACATCACACAATCATCATCTTCCCCCTCTCATCGGCACCATCACCAAAAAGTTGCACCTGGCGCCATCTCCTAGACCACTTCCACGTCCATCAAGCACCTCCATTGTCGCCGGTGGTGGAGTCCTCCACACCGCCATCGCCACCACCACTCATCGGAGTGTACCTCGAAGAGTAGAGGACGCACCACGGAATATCCTCTTCCTCTCCGCGATGTCCTGCTTGTACTCCTTCCACCACATCAATTGGTCTTCATCCATGTCCTTCTTGGACATCATCATGTGCTCCTTCTCTTCCACCATGAGTTCTTTCCATGCCTTTGCTTCTTTGACCTTGATCATCCTCTCCTCCAAGTCGGCCTTGCGCTTGGCATCTTCACGCCTTGCTTCAACTTGTGCAAGCTTCACCTCTTTCTTCTTCTCGTTGATAAGAAGCTTTGTCTCCAATCTCTCCATTGTCAATGCCTCCCTTGACTTCATCATATGTTCTATCTTCTCCCTTATGCTTGACGCCTCTCCTTCCATCTTCTTCCTTAGCTTATCCTTCTTGTTTCCAGCGGGCTTGTGCTCGTTCCTTCCCTCCTCTTCACTATCATCCATCCTAACCATTGCCGACTTCTTGGGTGCGGTCTCTTGATCCCTCAACTTCCACTTGTCATAAGTTTGAAGAATTTTCCAAACATGTTTAAATGGGAATGCTTTGCCCTTGGAAGCGGCCATCTCCTTGTACCTCAAGTCAGCAATTGCCTCCTACAAACTCACCAATAGCATAGTAAACATATATGTACTCACATAACAATAGCATAAAAAATCAAAATAAATGTGAACAACATATATGTACTCACATAGTCACTCTCCACGGTTCCACTAGGCGGTGCATCCTTCACTTGGTCCATTGCCGCACTCCAACGAGCACAATGGGGCTTCATCAACTCCCACCGGCCTTGAAGCGACCGGCAACTACGAGGGATGTACCCACCGGTCTCCGGCTTGATCTTGCAATAGAAGTCCTTTATGCGTTGCCAATAGCGTTTACCTGTTTGATCGGTACAGGTGCTTGCATCCAACCCCACATGTGCCCAAGCACGAACCAAGAGAATATCTTCGTCCTCGCTATAGTTTGTCGAGCGCACGGTGGGTTTTGCAACGGCGGCGAACGCCTCCTCTATCTCGGTCACCTCCTCCTCATCTTCCCCTTCCTCCTCATCACCCTCTTCCTGCAAGTCATCACCAAACCCCAGGGGTTCGAGAGAAGGAGCCCCGATGTCCACCTCCGCTTCTTCGAGAAGCCCCATGAATGACATTGGCGGGGCAGGCATTCCGTCGAGCACCTCGTGCACGACGGGCGGAGGTGCGGGGGCCGGGGCGGCCGTCGGCTTCTTCCTGGAGGTGGCCTTCTTCACCTTCGGCGCCGCTGCCCCCTTCGGCCCAAGGGAGGGCTTCTTCCTCACCTTCGGCGTCGCTGCGGCCGGGGCGACGGCCGGGGCGGGCTGGGGGAGGATGACGTGCTGGCCAGCACGCCGCCTCTTCGCGCCGACGGCCACAACCGACGGCACCTCCGGCGCGGGCGGAGGGAGCGAGGACGGGGCCGGCGCAGGCGTCGCCGAGGCCGAGGCCAGGGGCGGGGTGGCCGGGGCGACGGAGGAGTCCGGCGGCGCCTCCATGGCTCGCCGCGGTGGCGACGGGATCGACGAGGCGTCCGACGGGAGGGAGCGCGAGGGGAAATTTCCCTCCCGCGCAACGACCGGTGGAGTGCAGGTTGGAGGTGGGTTTCCCTCTCCAATCCTCACTTTTACAGATTGGGAGGGCAACCCCAGATCCAATCCGTAATTTTTTTTAAGGGTTTAGGGGTTCTAGGTTCTATTATTTGCCGTTTTTTCGTTTCAACCCGTAAAAAATGGTTATTTCTGTTTATTTGAGGGTTTAAGGGCTCTACTAGACATGCTCTTACCAATTGTGGTGGGGCATGCATTTGCATGAACATAAGGTAAACATCTTACATTACTGCTTTACAAACACGCTTACATAGGATAAGAATATGAACTTGAACAAAAGAAGGTTAAAACAGATGAAATACAAAAACTACTAGGGAGATGTGAGATGAGTTATGTGAAAAACAGTAACTGCTCTACTAATTTGTGGAGGGAACATTACCCTGATGGACAAAATACCCGTTTAGAAACTAGAAGAGTTTGATTATTGAATACTTCGTTTTATTGTCTTCAACCATTTTATATACTCCCTCTGTAAAGAAATATAAGAGCGTTTAAATCACTACTTTAGTGATCTAAACACTCTTATATTTCTTTACGGAGCGAGTACTGCTTAATTTCTGATCCAGTGCATTGATGCTTTTCGAAAACATTGGTTTTGGTATGGTTGTGTGTAAAAAGTAAAATAGGAGCTTAGTTCCAAACCCTTTTGCTGTAAAAGTTCGGCAATGTTTCTGATGGAACAGGGGAAACATCCCTGCTTTATTGAAGTTTGAGTTAGAAAATATTTTAATAATATGTACTTTGTTTGCACTGTTTCTGGAACGACACCAGAAGGAGCTTGGTTTGATGGAAAGCAGCCTGTTTCTAAGATGACTACGCGGTATGTGATCTGATATTTTACTTCTGTCTGTTTGTTTCTCTTTCTTGCCTTACTGTTTCATTTATATTTATGGATATTTGATTACTTCCAACATGACATGGTATAGGCTAACTCAATTTTACGAGGAGTTCAACACATACAATGAAATCTATGACAGTTTTGTTGAGATGGGTCTTCAAGAAAATCTGCTGAAAGGAATATATGCATATGGTAATTCTTGGTTTATCTGTTACTATGTTGAGATGCTTATTTGCGTATACAATTATTTCTTGACTTGACATGTATTATAGTGAAGTCTTAATGAGATTTTGTTTGAAGGCCTGGAGAAGCCTTCTTTAGTCCATCAACGAGGAATTGTCCCATTGTGCAAGGGTCTGGATGTTATCCAGCAGTCACTGTCTGGAACAACTGTGACACTTGCCTGTGGAGTTCTCCAGCGACTCGATTATGGATCCACTGAATGCCAAGCTTTGGTTCTTGTACCAACGCGTGACTTGGCACAGGAGACCGAGAAAGTTATTGGAGCACTTGGTCAGTGGCTAGGTGTCAAAGCTCATGCTTGTCTTGGAGGGACTAGTGTTCGTGAGCACAAGCAAATTTTGTCCAGCAGCACCCAGGTTATTGTCGCTACTCCTAGCCGCGCTCTGGACATGCTGAGAACACGAGTGCTCTGTCCAGATAACGTCAGAATGTTTGTCTTGGATGAAGCAGATGAAATACTCGCAGGAGGTTTGAAGAACCAGGTTGGTTTTGCATCATCATACCAGCTCCGTTGTATAGTGATTACAATGGTTGCAAAACTTCCCTCGTATTGCTTGTTCTATTTAATTTGAAACGATAAAAATAGATCTTGTTAATCTCATGCAATTCTTTGTGGCGTCTATTTTCGTAACATGTGACCATTCATCTTTCTTGCAGATCTATGATATTATCAAGCTTCTCCCAGCCAAAATCCAGTTTGCTGTATTCTCTACCACCATGTCCAATGAAGCTCTCGAACTTTGCCGAAAGTGCATGAATAAGCCTATGAAGGTCATAGTGCCGAAAGATGAAGAATTGGAGGGTTTTAGTGTTAAGCAGTTCCATGTTAAAGCTGAGGACGAAGAGTTGAAGTTTGAGAAATTATGTGATCTTTTTGACACCATGGCGGTCACGCAAAACGTCATCTTTGTCAACGCACGTCGGAAGGTTGAGTCACTGGCCGAAAAGATCAGTGGCAGGGGGTACACCGTCTCGGCAAGCCATGGTGGTATGGACCAGCACGCCAGAGATGTTGCCGTCCAGGATCTCCGGTCAGGATCATCCCGTGTCCTCGTCACCACCGACCTTCGTGGCGCCGACGCATTGCAGGTCCCTGTTGTCATCAACTATGATCTGCCAACACAACCAGTACAATACCTTCGTCATGTTCGACGAAGTGGACAGCCTGGAGGGATTGGTGTCGCAATCAGCTTCGTTGCTCGTGCTGATGAGCGTGTCCTGTCTGACATCCAAAGGTTCTGCAATACTCAGTTGGCAGAGTTACCCTCTGACGTCGCTGACCTCCTGTGAGCAATTCCGTAGTTGGATATGGTGCACAGATGGCTATCTAGACTAATTTTTTTTTTCTATCGTTGGCCTGGAGAGCTGCGCGACAGCTCCATTCTGTTGAATTGTGGGAATCGTCTTGTGGGATTGAAACTTTTCGAGTTCTCCGGTATTATGTCATGGTGGTTTGAAACTGAATTGAATGTGGTGCAAATAGTTGTTTGAAATGTTTTGTTGGTTCATCTGTTGTTTACTATTGTTATATTGTGTTGGTGCACATATGCTGCTAGTGAGCAACGTTATGCACACAGGTTACAGAATCCTTTAAACCAGAACAAATAATGCAGGTCATGCTTGGATTGAACTTTGGACCAGATTACATATAGCAAGGTTTGGGTGTGAATGTGTAGGTCACCTATAATATCAAAGAATGTTCTTCCACTGAATGAATCTGGTGTTAGTACTAGTACGAAAACGATAAAAGTTAACTTGCTTCAGTTTGCAGGCAATAACTACAGGCACTTCAATCTTTCTGTTCTGTATTTGTATTATAATAGTAATATGTCATGTAACATGAGAAGTGAGGGTTAACTGAAATAAACTTCTAAACACAAGACTACATGTAAACACGAATTTTCAATCTTTGATGTCCTTTCCCCTAGAGAAATTCTTGGATGTCCATGTAGGTATAGGCTGCAAGTCCCTTGTCAGACATAAACACCACTTGCGAGGAGAACGAAAAGAGATCCAAAACCCTGTGGAACAAACAAAGCAAATTTCGTAAATATGTCAACCAGCTCTGATTCCACATACGAACTGATGAAACAATCAGCATTTTAGTGGGCTCACCAGAAAAACGGAAGCAACAGCTGCGGTGGTGAGCTCCTTGGCTAAGCTTCGGCTGCGCGTGGATATGGTCGCTTCATAACTGGCATATAGAGAGATCAAAGAATCAACAAAATGGTGGGTAGTCTTTTGTCAACGGACTAATCTATAAGTATATATCTATGAATGGTCCTGTGTAATTCAACATGAACAAAGAACGAAGTTGCTTCGCCTCACAACCAAGGAACTGCAAACATATACTCCCTCAGTTCCACAATACATGTCTTCCATTTATCAAAATATAGATGTATCTAGACATATTTTAGTATATAAATACATCCATTTTTGGACAAATGGAAGTCAAGTATTTTGGAACGGAGGGAGTACACGATAACCCACTCGCAAATTGAGTTGTGAAACGTCCGTAAAAAGAGAGAATCGGAGGTTAGAGCTAGCCGGTACACAAATTTTCCCTGAGGTCCAATAGCAAATTGTCCCTAGTAGGCGCGAGAACGGCAAGCACATGTACCAAACAACAGTGAATTGATGCATCTGCACTGAACACTAACTGTGCAACTTACAGAATGCAAGTGCCAATGTATAGTTGTGTTACTAGTGCCCCTGTAATATGTTCGTGTTTTCTACTCCTACATCCGATAGTACTACATCCTACAGGTTATCACAGCACACAGCCAATAAGCGGCTCTACTTGCAGGTCGAGAACCAATCGCCACTGGGTCACTGCACAATTCACATCCAAGTACCCAAATCAAGCACGAGCGGAGCGGAGGGGAGAAGAATAGGAGAGGTAGGGGTTGGTTGCTCACGTACATGAAGAAGGAGGCGGTGAGCATGAGGCCGACGGCGACCGTGAGGACGGACAGAGCGGGGTACCAGGCCACCGGCAGCGGGCTCGAGATCGACGCCTGCATCTCGCCAACGGTATCTCCCGAGTCAGGGGGGCGGAAGCAAAACCCTAGAAGAGATTTGAGGCGGGGAAGCTTACCATTCCGGATCTGAAGTCTGAACCTTGTGATCTCCTCTCCTCGCGAAGCGGGGTCCCTGTCCTCAGGTCAGGTACACTTTGAGTGGCCGGTGTGCGATTGCAAACGAGCAGTGCTACACACACGATGCTGTGCGCACGATTCATGCACGACAACAGATCCCTGTCCGTCCATGCATGTAGCAGAGTCCAGCAGACCGTTTGATCCCGCATCGTTCATCTGTCGTGCATACTGTTGTCGTCCGCGCAGCAGTTCCGATTGCAAACGCATGTGCCGGCTCGCTCCCGGGGCTGTCCATGGTTAAGCACCGCTACGTCTTAATTTTTCTTTCTCACAAATGAAAGAATACCCAGACACTTGTATTCGTATACACGCACAAGTAACTTACATTTATGAGCACCTTTCAGAAAAGCAGCAAATTTTCTGACTAAGAGTAGTCGGGCACTCCAAACCCGCCTCAAATGTCCCGACGGACAGCCTGGCCAATGACCGCTAAAAAAAAACATTTCAGACGGGCTTCTCAAACCGGCCTCAAACTCATGAGCTGACCAAAACCCCTCATATCTAGCTCAAATATGAGGCGATATGGGGAGATCTAGGCACGACCGGTCATCCGTCGGACTAACGATGGAGTCCCACACGAAAACACTCCGAAACTCGATGGTCTGAAACTCGTCTCCTCCGTCGGACATATGGCACCGTGTGGCGCCGCTCTAGCAGGCCACATAGTGCCCTAACTCGGCTATTTAAGCCGTGTCACCGGCACTGAAACCCTATCCGTCCACATTTCCTCCTCCCCTCCCCCCGTCCCGTCCGCCGCCGCCGCCGCCGCCGCCACTTTCCAATCGTCGTCCGCCACCACTAGTAGCCATGCCCCCATGCCTCCGGATAAGGAGCTACCCATATCTAACGTCAGAGCTCCGGCTGCAGCTCCTTGAGCATATTCGGGCAAGGTGTGAAGCCCGGATCGCCGCAGGGCTACCTCCGGACACGATGGATCCAAAGGAGGACTTGGAGGAGGAGGAGGAGGAGGAGGAGGTGGAGGAGGACGAGCAGCAGGAGGAGGAGGAGGATGTGGGGGACGCGGAGCAACAGGCGATCCTCGATTCCCTCCTGTCGAAATCAGAGGCGGAGGCCAATCGCCGTCGTCTGCATGAGGCGGAGGCAGAGAACCCCGTGGAAGTCGATGACATGGTTGCGTATATGAATGAGGAGGAGGCCTCCTACGCGCCCATCTACCCGGTGCCCGGCATCGAGGTCATGGACATCTCTGACAACGAGCGGTAGTTAGGCTAACGTGATGTGCGTAGTACGTAGAATTTCTTAAAACACGGTTTGTATGCATTTGGGGATGAAATATGAGAGTCGAATGCATAGCACAAAGTATGAGGTGTGATTGGTTAGTGCCTGCGGACGCGTCCGATCGCGTCCGCGGGCGTTTGAGAGACCGGATTTCTCAAGTTCAGCCGTAGATGCTCTAACGAAGTTGTAAACTTGAGAAATTCGAATAACACGAACACACATTTAAAAAAATCAGCATCTTCCTAAATTAAAGTTTATGATTACAAGCAGATGAACCGCCTGGGGGGGGGGGTAGGCATACATGCAGTCTCTTGATGAGAGTGTGTTTCTCGATTGGCCTTCAAAGATTATCTCCGCACTCACAAAAAAGAGCAACTTCTCTGATGTCACGTGTGATATGGGCATAAGCGCCCTTAATTCCTTTCTTTGGAAATCTAACTGCTCCTTGACAATCACTGGCTACCAAAATCTTTTGAGCGACAATCTCCACACTGAGGCATAGAGCTTCTTTACAAGCTAGGACTTCAAGCATTTTTGGCTTTGTCTACCCCTCAAAAATAGGTGTTAAGGCTCCTTTATAGGCTCCATTGCTATCTCTCACAGATCGGCTACTGAATTGGTTCTTCGGCTCTTCCCCACCGCGGCATCGACCTTAGTTTTGATCACTCCCATCAATGGGGTAGTCTAGTTTTCCTCGACCATCGTTGGTGTAGAAAGCTTTCTTCCCTGCTATTATGTTCTACCTGTTATTTATGTAGCTCTGGACAAATGGGTGAACCGACAAAGGGTGCTGGTAGATCTCTTCATGTAAAGCTTTACATCTTGCAAACAATATGGACCACAAGGTAACGAAGCATGTCACGTGTTCCTCTAGTCTCAAGGTATCAATCGTGGTATTGATGAAGTCGCGTGGGGACTGCTTAGCCGACATACTTATGTGCTCCACTAGACACTCATCTACCAACTCCCACACACACTATGCAACATTGCGAACGATTAGAGAGTGCATCCAAGAGTCCTCCCCGTACAATGTGCGCCTGTTATCTGGGCCCATATTCGAGTGACATCGTACGTTCGTCGTTGGCAATGAGCTCTTTGCTAATCCCCAAAGAGAAGGCTTGATCTTTTCTGGTACCTTATCTTTGCTTGTTGGGCATATGAGTCGAGCCAGAGGCCCTCCGTTCAAGCCATGCCTCCCACTGATCCCTAGATCCCACCAAATGTGATATGTTGTGCAAACTAAGAAAATTCCTTCACAATCAAAGTGACAGGCCCAAAAGCCCATCTAGTCTCTTATGCTTATCGAAATGTTGCGAATAATACCAACATCATTAGGAAGAAAGAAATGGTTCAGCTTTACTTCGTCCCAGTCCGAACGCTCCTCTTTAAAAAACTCGCCAACAAACGAAGGGTGTGTCCTCATGGACACAAACATTCAGACGTAGCGAGTCGTTCCTCGGGATCCACTTGGGCTTCCATGCATTTGTGGTAAGTTCATCGTCAATTTGTCAATCCCCTCATGTATTAACCTCCATACTTGAGAAGGGTTGATACTCGTGACCAGGAGCAGGGGCACGTGCCAAGAAAGATTTGTTACTTTCCCTATGGTTTTCGAACGTTTTCAATAAAACCTTCTCGTACAAGTATTTTCACAAAGTTTTCGGTAATATTAGGAGATGCTATTCGAACCCTTCCTTTTATTAAGATTCGAATTCTTCTTATTATTATTATCTAATTATTCTTTTTTTTCGCTTCTAGCAAGATTGCTCTAATGGTTGTTTATTGTCATGTGACTTGGCTATAATTGTGGGCTTTGTTTTTCCATGAAAAATGTTCCTGTTGACTTGGAATGGACAAGTGGAATTGATAATTAACACTTGGCTTTTGGGTTTAGCTAAATTTAAAGTTGGGTTCTTTTAAATTGGTGAATTTCTATACTTGAGCTAGTGCTAACCATTTTCCCTTTGTTGTGTTGTTGTTAGATTTGTGAACTAATGCCTCTACTATTGGGTTGGATATTGGATTAGGTTATGGACCTTTACTTGCATTTTTACATATGCCTTTGGTTAACTTGATCAGCTACTCCTCCTGCTAGATTATCACATAGGTTCTGATCATCTACTGTGCATATGGTCATTTCCACTATTCATTTGGTCACTTCCTTTGTTCCTATAGTTGGTTGTTGCTACTCAACCCTTTGGAAATTTCTCTGATTCGGGGATCTAGCCTAGTTTCAGATTCCTTAGGTACCAGCTCGTATGTAAATGCATTTCCCTCTGGGAAAGCAACATTTTAACCTTACCCAAATATGTTTATGTTTAATGATTCTTTTGCAGGTTTTGGAAGAAGATAATGAAGAACAGGAGAAGATTAAGATTAGTTTAGAATTTCTTTATTCGCTTGTAATAACCATGTACTATTCATCAAGATCATTTTTGAAATACTTGGATAATGGTCAATGTATCTTCTTTTGAATCCAATTGTATATTTGTAATAACTTGTAACGTATCCTTTTAAAAGTCCTTTTGTAATTCATTTGTATTATTGAATACAATTGTTTGGACATGTATGATAGTTGTGTGTTAAAGGTTGTGGTTGAGTTATTATCTATTATTTGCTATGTGAATCATTAAAAACACTAGTAGAAAGCCCATGCGTTGCCACAGGCCTTTTCTATATAAGACTCGGTGAATTTTGTCCCCTTCCAACGACATTGCCTCGGATAGATATTACACCTTTTGTATTATCATGTGCAACAAATATACAAAGAAAAACAATTATTTGTATGCATCTCATCTGGTTGTGTAAAACTCGATGAGGTTTTAGTTCAGTTCATCATAGTTACGTCAGTGGCTTTGTTAGTCAACATTTCAAAGTATCATCCGAAGACTTCAGTTTTTATCTATGATCCACAAAAGTGAAAATATAAACATATAATAAATGAAAAACTCATATACAATATATATTCATTGGTCAGCTGCTAGATGCGAGCATGGGACCTTTTTAACCAGAGTGATTTGCATCACACTTTTTAGTAGAGTAGTTCACATCTAAGTTTCAATAAAGTGTAGGCTTACCTGTAAATCATTTGTTGGTAATTATTATCAAGAAATGACTTGTTAGTGTATGTAATATTATTTGCTATAAAAAAGTATGTCATATTTCTCTCATAGCAAACAATCGCCTTTACCTAAAAAAGCAAACAACAGCTCCATTTTTTTCTTGATTAAAAAAGCTATTCACTCTCTCACCCCATGACACATTGCTCACACTCACATCTCATTCCCCCGGCCTACTCTCCCCGCCACGGCCTAGCCGCCGCATCTCTCCCCACCATGGCTTCTCACCACCTGCGTATTGCCATGGAATAGTGGAATAACAAAGTGACGAAATAATTTAGAATGTGCTTTGAATATGTGACTCTTTTTTTCATTCACCTAGCATCAACTAATTTTCTCTCCCATTCATAATTCATTTTCAACTTGGTAATCATCGTGTCTACTTAGCCGCCCTTTCATTGTAGGAATACAAAAGTGACATCTGTCTCTTTACCCCCTCCATCCCCTCCACCTTCATTCTTGCCACCATGACCAAGGACGGGAACGTTTGACTCTCGGGTGTAATTACACCCGAATTTTAAAAAAATAGTTGTTTGTAAGAAAATAAAAAAAAATCTGAACTTTTTTTGCGAACAAAGTAGATTTGTTGTTGCACTCGCCTAAAATCTTTCGCGAAGAAATGACTTCCATGTTGTTGTGGACGAAAAAACAAATTTGTCACTATACATGAGGTACTGTTCATACTATTGTCAGAGAATATTTGTCATTTTTGCCGAAGGGTATTTCATTACAGAATATTTTTGTACAACAGAAACGACAACTCAAGTTTGTTGGGTTTTTTAAATGATTGA